TTGCCGGCTCCTTCGCGCTTGCCGTGCTGGCCATCTCCCTCCTGACCTTCACGGGCTGGTTTGCCGCCCTCTACCTTGGCTGGATCCCCGACTCCTGGCTCCCGTCGGAGCAGACTGCCACAGGGAAGGTGTCTCCCTTCGTCTTGGCACTGACTTTAGGAGTCTCGACGATGGTTGTGGCGTGCCCGTGTGCCATGGGGCTGGCCACGCCCACTGCCATAATGGTGGGCACAGGGGTGGGGGCGGCAAACGGTATTTTGATCAAGGGCGGGGAGGCCTTGGAGAAGGCGTACCGCCTATCGGCAGTTGTGTTCGATAAAACGGGGACCCTGACGCAGGGGCAGCTGGCAGTGGACCGGTTCGTGCTGTTGGAGGACGAGACAAAGGAGGAACAGGAGGGCCGAGGGGAAGGGGTGCAAGCAGCTTCTTCTTTTTCCTTATTTGCTTCCACCGTGTGGGCTGTGGCTAGTGCTGAAAGAGGCTCGGAGCATCCCGTGGCGAAGTGCATTGTGCGGTACTATTCCTCGCTTGCCTCCTCCTTCTCGCCATCGTCGTCTCCACCTTCTTCCGTCCCTCTTCGTGTCCCTACTTTTTTTCCACCTCTGGTGGAGCCTCAAGACTTTCATGCCGTCTCAGGAAAAGGCCTTCTCTGTCGCGTCGGCAAGCGCAAAGTTGCCGTTGGTACACGGGCATGGCTTGCAGAAGTCCACGCTTCGCCTCCCTCTCCAGCTGCACTTAAAGCGGCCAAGGACGCCGAAACCCGAGGAAAAATTGTGGTATGGGCCGCCTTCGATGGAAGGATCGCCGCTCGGATCGAGATACTCGACCAACCTCGTCCTGAGGCGGAGGTTGTCGTTCAGGCCCTGACCGACTCGCTCAAGCTAGAGGTTTACATGGTGAGTGGCGACAATGCGAGGACGGCGTCGACCGTAGCGCGAGGACTGCGAATCCCTCCCTCACATGTCATGGCAGAGACACTGCCTTCCAAGAAGGTGGCAAAAATTAAGGATTTGCAAAGCCGTGGGCACGTGGTGGCAATGGTCGGCGATGGAATAAATGACGCGCCGGCCTTGGCGCAAGCAGATGTGGGCTTGGCCATCGGTGCGGGAGTAGAGGTAGCTCAAGAGGCGGCGGATATGGTGCTTATCAAATCTGATCTGAGAGGTGTCCTGATGGCCATACATTTGTCGAGAACTATTGTCCGCCGCATCTATTTGAACTTGGTCTGGGCCTTGCTATACAACGTTGTGAGCATTCCTTTGGCTGCAGGCTTACTATTGCCCTGGCTGCACATTGCGATCCCGCCATACGTTGCAGGCGCAGCTATGGCTCTTTCCAGTGTCTCTGTGCTGGCGAGTTCCCTAGACTTGAAGCGCTACAAGCCGCCCAACGTCGTAAATGGTGCTTCGAAGGACAGAGGATGCCTCATCGGGGGAAAAGGCCGACAGAATATTGATGCAGGGGGTTGGCGACAGGTCAATGACACATTCGGTTTACTAGCATATCAAGCGCACAGAGAGACAAGTTACGGAGGTCTTTGATGAGTCGTCCCATTTTCCTGCATTAGAGATTAATTGTGCAGCCAGTCAAAGCCAGCTTTGAAATCTATTTGCAATTTGGGCAGCTATAATATGTAGCAACAAAACATTCATCATAGATGCTAGTTTCACCTTGTGAAATCTAGACATTCGCTCAACACTAGCCAGCGTTCAAATTTCACTCTACATATTCTCAATTCCGTTGCAATTGTGAGTTCTATCTATGCATTCATATTATTTGCTTTACACATGTGCATGCTCGTTAAGCCTGTCGAGGTTACAAGATTAAGTCACAATCAGTGGCGGGTTTCGAGTCTGCAAGCGTCATTTGTCCGAGAATTCACATGGACTTGGCTCCTCCATTTTAAGAAGGCCCCTTCTCTCTGTGTACGAAACTAGATACTCTCACACCACGTATATAAGGCCTCAATAGTCAGCCCCTTGAAATACTCTCAATCTCATAATGTGTAAAAATGTCCTGAAGAGCGAAGCAGAAAAATGTCGGAATTTACTTTGTGACCCATTTCAAAATAAGTCAATAATAGTAAATAGTCGTACAATGCTGATCAAGGGATATCTTCCGAATGTGTTGATGTGATGATTATGCTGTTGATTTTTTTTCCATAATAACGTGGTTTTCATGCGCTTAGACAGGTATGTGTGTTATCAATCATTTTTGCTTTTGTTGCCAGCACTTTTTGATATCAGATCACCCGGCTGTCGCTTTGTACGGCTTTTTAGAAATTTCAAGGAGTAGGCAGCACAACTTATACACATACTGAGATAGTGTCATCGTATAAGTAGAGTTGAAACACTGATGCACATGGATATACTTATTTTTGATGAAGCACGGCACGGCCGATCGCTGAGCTAAGAGTTGCAAAGCATTGACGAGCACCGATGAATAACTCGGATTCTCAGATTTTATATCCTTACACCTGTCAAAGCTGACGAGGTAGAGATTGGCCAGTCTCCGGGACGTCAGAGAGCCTTGGAATGACTTGAGCTTAAACGTTTTCTACTTTCTTCGATTGCCCTTCATCGTGAAGGTCTTAAGGTCTGCGCGTTTGCATCAGTACGTTAGAAATCGACATGATGGTGCCCCGCTCCTTGAATATATAAGGGCGCCCACCACATACACAGAGAGACGAAATCCGCCTGCAGGGTTGTCAATAGTCTTTGGTCTTGTTGCCAACACTTTTTGATATCAAAATACATGGCTGTCGCTTTGTGTGGATTATCGGATATTTCAAGGAATGAGCAGCACATCTTACATCCATACGGAGAATTTGTCATCACAATAAATTAGTCCAAACGTTGGCGCACATTTCTGTTTACATGTAAAACAGAGTGATTGATAGCACAGTTGTTGATTCAATTCGTATTAGGATCACCTTTTATTAGGAAGACGACTAAGCTGAACATTCGACGGCGTCGATTTTTATTGTTTGGCGACTGTATCTTGTACTTCTTAGAAGTATCAGGGATTTACTGATGCTTCAGGACTTGATGAATTGACTTAAGCATTTGCAATTCTGCTGCACTACAGTATGACGAAATTGAGTGATTTTAGATAGCTTTCTTTGTAGCAGGTATGGAATATGGAAATATGCAGGCATGGACATATGTCTTCAAAACTTGGAAGTCTACGGCTGTAGGAGTCCAGGTCGTCGAGACCACTCCCGAGATTCGCCGAAAAAATGGTAAATTCCAAGGTAGATTCTAGTGAAACTCCCGAATCTTCGTCGTTCAAAACATTTTTTCCGAGATGCGCCTACACTCGGGGCATTGAATCAAATCTAGATTCTACTGACATTATTCCAAGTTCCCCAGAGTTTCGAGAACTGAAAACAGTTTATCTTTCAATTGGCATCAAGCGTTTTCCTAGTTTGTAGTCCTTGCCGTACATCCCTCCCCTTCAGAAACATTTTGTCTTGTCTTTACAATCATGGTGCTTCCGATATTTTGTAAATGTACATCATGAAAGGGGTACGAACTCTTTACTTTAAGGACAGATTTGCACGAGTAATATGTACCTGATATGGGTCACGATCATCTTCGCAAGAGTTCCTACACATAAAACTCATGGAGGGCCTTCACAAACATGTGTAGCAAAAAACATTGTCTTCAAGTAGAGCTCATGGCATGTAAACGAATTCTCTCTCATATTCTTCCCCACGAGACGTTGCAGTGACATTACGGCGAAACAATGACGTTCCTTTATACATACCACAGAGTACAGGGGGGGTTTCTTACAAGAACAGAAATTGCAGATTAATTATAATGAATGAAAGGTCATTCGCATGGGCCACCCAAAAAACTTCGTCAGACGGTGTTGATCATTGTTCGAAACGAGCGCGAGGACTACCTGTTCTGGTGCTCAAAATTGCCTTGGCGGCACTCCTTGTCATATGCACGTACACGAATAGTATCAATCATGGAGCAGATAGGAATCAAACTGTTCTCATTTCGCAATCAATAAATTCGATGGAGATTTTTGAAGTGAGTGAATCTATGAAAGCTACTTCAAGTAGAAATGGGGGCGAAAATGAGCTTGCAAGCGAAGAAAAGGAACGGAATCATTTGAAAGGGTGGAGTGCGACTGCAGGACAGCCTCCTTCTTTTTGCATATCTGAAGATCAAGTTATCACCGCACCTACACATCACGTCTATGTCGCAGCCAGCCTTTTTAATGGCGCAGCTTTCGTTGTAGGTTTTTTAGAAAGTATCGAGAGACAGGACTATCCTCAAGTTACGGTTGTGATTTATGATGATGATTCTTCAGACGGAAGCGCAGATCAAGTCGCTTCTCTAGCGCCCTCTTTTCCGTACAATATTGTGCTCCTACGTGGCAACGAGAGAAAAGGCCCTTCTCATGCAAAGCTGAGACTTGTACATGCCATTCGCCAAATGGCAACACCTATGGACCTGGTTCTTTTCTTAGACGCCGACGATAAGTTTTTTCACAAAAATGTACTTAAGGAGGTGGCGTCAACCTTTCGAAGGAAAAAACCTTGGTTCGCTTATGGTCGCATTCGAGGATATTTCGAGGAGCAATGCGCCCCCCCCCATCGATAGTCTATTATACCCAAAACAAAACATCGAGTGTACGAACGGGCCCATGGTCTTATTGTCATCCTCGAGTATATCGCGCATTTTTACTAGATTACTTCAATGAGACAGATTTTCGAGATCCGCTGTCGGGACGATGGCTGCTAAAATACACCGATCGCCAGATGGTGTACAAGGCGCTCGAACTTTCCGGTGACGAAAAGGTCGCTTTCATGGATGGCGAACAGCCACATGTTTACTATCGCATGACGAGAAACTCAACCGTCTATCTTAACAACGAAGTAAAGGAAATGGACTTTAAATACTGTCAGAGACTCCACGCAGAACCCAACACGTTGCTGGAACCTATCCACATTGTAAGCTGCGCTTTCAAACGTGTTTCATTGTTGTCCGAGGTCCTAAGAATGAATATAGAAAAACAAGATGTAGGGACTCGGCCTGTCTACATTCATATATGTAATAACGGGAATGATGAGCAGGCGGCAACCATCAAGGCCGTCCTGGAAGACATAAAAGGCCTTGCTGGGTATAGAATTCGGACATTTAGAGACAATCCAGGTGGATTTGCCCGTTTCAATATGATGCAGGATGCAGTAAAAGAGTTCGGTGTGGACTATTTCGTGTTAATCGATGACGACATTCAGCTGCCAGTTCCGTATGGTCTAAAATCACTCATCGCGGAGGCCAGGCCACAGGAATATAATAGCTGGTGGGGAAGGCATTTCAAAGGACCAGACAAGGATTATCACTCTTCTATACTGAGTCCACAGGACCTCAAAGCCGGAAGAAATAACGCCATTAGCAAATTTCACTACGCTGGGACGGGGCTTGCGGTGATCGATGCTGACATTGTTCGGTTTTACTTCTTTCTGCTTGACAAGGTGCGTAAGATAGGGGTCCTTGACAGATTCATTTCGTGGTTCGACTACAACAGATTTTACCGACCTTAGCATTGATGTGCTTGATCAATCCATCAAACAGGTACCTAACATATATCGAAAAGTTGAGGATCTCTGGTTGTCTTACGTAGTCCTTCAACTCGGCTGGCGGGTCCGCCGCATAATCATGGCCGATGTCAATTTCATGGAAGACGTGAAGTTAGACAGAAATGCTTCTAGTACGATGCTTGTGCAAAGCACAGCATTGTGGAAAAGTCAAATTTCCTTCAAGCTGAAAATGCTTGAGGAGCTCCGTTCCTGCGGCTGGAACGTGTAGCAAAATCGAACATGTGCATCTTCCACACTCCCTGATATTCGAAGCATAAAGAATTGATATTGTTGTACAACCTCTTCGCATGTAGCGCAGAGGGTTTGAACAGTCATTTAAAGCTGTCTTGACAGCATGTTGATGATAATGCGTGGTGTTTATGCCTTATAACAAAAGACCACGTTATGGGAATATTTGATCCTCTCTAAACGGTATTTGGTCTCTCTAAACGGATGCTCCGCTTACAGGAGTAAATAACGAAATTTATATAGAGGATGGAATTGTGTTCCGAACCTCGAAAATCTCCTAGTTTTAACGCTCTTAGTCTCTTTCAATAGAAAAAGTAAAAGAAATCAAGTTCCCTCCTTGCGAGAGGCTCGGGTTCGGGTACACCCGATCTTCAACTGTGAAATGCTCCTTCCACACTCGTATCAGTTTCCTGGGGATAATATTTCTTGTATTTGTTCTCTACTGTCGGAAAGTCGAATATACAAGAAGCTTATGCTAAAGGTGGGGTGAAGATAGGGGTCAAAACTGGTAGAAAGCTCAGGGCAAGGGGGTTTATTGTTTATTGGAGCTTCGCTATATAAAAATACTGGCGTACATTAAATAAGAGGTTAAAGAGCCCTCAAATTTACGGACTCGATGTACTCGAAAAAAATAGAGTGGGTGAGTGAGTTCTTAGCTTGTGCAGTATATTCGCTTTTAAAAAAGACAGATCGGGA